CCCTCAGCCAGGGTCAACCCACCACAGACACGCTCCTGAGTGCTCTGCTGCACAATACTTTGATAGTGCAGTAAGTAAAACATAACAACCTTTTGGGAGCTGAAAGGATGGAATGGCTCAGAGAGCCATGTATGGAGGCAAGTGGGAATAAATTGAAAAAAGGAGAGTCTGTGGGATCACAAAAATAGGAGAAGGAGCAAGGTAGACTGGCATTGCAGCCATGCACTGGAGGGGCCCAGGTATAAACAGAAGGAAGGGCTGTTCAGACTGGAAAGTTCAATAAACTGAAAGAATGAAACTGATCAGAACCACCAGAGTCAGGATGTAGTCCTGGCCTTGCTATGGACAGCAGAACCATTGTTAGAAGGATGGAGAAAGCTACTCGGATGGCAGCATCCCATCTGTTTCTTCCAGAGTTTGACTGTCTCCTAAAATCTCTCAGAGAAGCCTGCATGAGATAAAAGAATACTACAAAAACTAGTCACTATGTACCTGTCATATTGGATAACAATGGAGTCCAGGAAGGTTCCATCCCGTTTGATGCAGTCAAAACAAAGTAATGAGAACATTTCAGATGCCATTCCTGTAGCAAGCCCAAAGAAAAAAACAAAAACAATCAATCTCCCTCAAAATCTTACAACAAGTAACAGCAAGGATCTCAGAATGGCCAGGGTGATCAAATCAAAGACCAACCTATCCTAGCGCTGTTTCCAACAGTAGCCAAAATCAGAAGACTAAAGTTCAATCTGAGAAAGACCTTCCTCACCCCAACCTTCAAAAATTTACAGCTTAGGGATTTTCTAGGCAAGAAGCTGTGTCTTTGTTTTGAACGTTCCTTGATGGATTTCTCATCCATGAAACAATCCAGTAAATCACATAAACTTTTATCATCTGTAACATGCTGTGACAAGGAATTCGATAGCTTAATTATACATTGCCTGAGGAATTTTTTTTTTAATTATCTTCCCTTTATGCTTCCCAATTCTGATCGTAGAAAAGAGTGAGGGCTGTATACCAGAGAGATTAAGGTTTCTTAAAGGTCATGGAATATAAGCGATCCCAAAGAAATCACAAATGTTCAAAGGTGCAACATGGTCTCTGCTGGCCAACAATACATAAATATGATTTCCAGTCTGGCCTTGGAATCACTCAGAGGCAGAACCACAAGCAAGAGTCCACCCTAGCTTTTAAAGACATTAGGGAATTTAGTATGTTCATTCCCATGGTGTAGGATATATTCAGCCAACTACATGACTAGAAGTCATAAACATGAATTTAAAAGGTACAAGAAACTACATTATCGCCCCAACTTCTATCAGAATTAAAAAGCATCTTTTGAAAAGTGATATCCAAAAATTAATGTAAATACAGAAAATGGAAGAATCAACTATTTGTCCCTAGGCAAATTATTCTAAAAATCAGTCCCCCTCAGCACTAAATATGTATTTTACATTTCTTAGCTAATTAAAACAATCAAGCTTGTTTCCAGTAAGACGTGGTTCTTACTTATCTTTATCTCAAAGGCTAATTGTAGAGCTCACTGTTATCACATATCTTACACCTATGCACATTTTTCAGCTTGGACTTGTGCACATATTAACCTCCTCTATAAGGAAAATGATAAAAAGTCTTTACTGTCTCACTGTATAAGCAACTGTCTTGACCTACAATAGTTCTTGTGGACATTTCTACATCACTTTGCAAATCTGCCAGCATGTTTCAGTCATCGCTTTAGCATTCATGTAGGAGAACAGATCCTGCATGTTGGCAAAATAAATGCAAGTACATTACATTGTTTTCATACTGCAGGCTGTTAGATTTCTAGAGAATCATAAACAGAGAACCACAAAATCAAAAGGGAAGCTTCTAGTAAGTATCCTACAGGATATTTATCTTGAAGTTAACCAGTATCTTTGACTCATCTTCTCTTTTAGACTTCAAATAGTCACAGACTTTGCCAGCAGTTAAAATAAAAATGGCAAAGAATAGAGTCAAATTTCTGTCATTAATATAGGAATGGCTGTACAAAGTCAGACCAAAAAAATATCTGAAACTAGTAACCTGTATCCAACAATGACAAACAGTAATAGCCTACAGAAATGCAAGACAGCAGGACAAGTACATCTACTTCTCCCAGAAATGCTCCCAACCATTTGCAGTCAATAAACTCACATCAGGTGTATTTTTATGTATTCAGTAATGCTCAATGGATTTCTCTTTCATTAAAATAATTGCCCCTTGAGCCCATGCAAACTTTTAGCATCTACAACATCTTTTATACCACCGGCTAGGTTGCTATGTTAAGACTGTCTCCCTGAGAGACCACTCACTGAGGAAGGAACAAGAAGCGAACTTGCCCCAGCTTCACATGGAGCTTCCTGCAGGCTCTGCATTAACTAAGTCTGATTCAAGATCCTTTCTGCCTACACGAACACCTATGCCTCAGCAGTTCTTGTACAGAACTGTGACCATAGGAAATTGCAGACATCTTATCATCTCAAAGCCATTCTGAACTGGTGTTCAGAATAAAGGATTACCTCATATTCATCAAAAGGCTCCAGAGCCTGCACTCTTTGCTGCTCATCTTCTGGAGTACAACAGATGAAAAACTCATTCATATCCATGACACTGCACTCAGTCCAGCCCTAAAACAGAAATCCCTCAAAATTATTACCTCTTTCCACAAGAAAACAAAGACCCTAAATTAAACACCTGCATAAGCCTTTAGGACTGTCTAGCTGGAACAACAGCAGCCCAGAATCCGGTAAGAATAGAGCTCTTACCTGTAAAGCTCTTAAGAACTTAATTTATTATAGCAAAAGTCTCAGAGGAACTCATCTCGCCTTAATCCCATACCAGACATTAGGATGCAAGTCGGTCTGAAGGACCTTCAAACCACTAGTCATGCTACTAGAGAAGGCAGTGTCTCAGCCTTGGCCCTGTTTGCTTCCACTTATAACTGACACAGCTGATTACTTCCAAAACTATTCAGTGTTACAATCTTTCCCAGGTAAATCGTGCTTTGTGTGTGTCCTAGAGCTGCAGGTACCTACCTTTTCAAAAAAGCGCCTCTGCTGTGCCTCACAATCAGGGTACTGTGCCAAAGAATGAAGTGCAGAGTTCAGCTGGCTAAAATGCTGCTGCATGACACGTCCAAAGGGGTCCTCTGGGTGCATCTGCTCATACAGCAGAAAGCACGCCTGGGAGAAATGCTCTGCTGCCCACTGGATCAAGGCATCTGACCTGTCAGGCAGATTGTGTGTAAGAAATTAAATAATTGAGGGCCCACCTATCATATGGCAGATGCAATGTATCTTCCTGCAACACCATAAAGCATGCTACTAAGGCATCCTGACATAGGTAATACACAAAAGAGAATCCTGTGCTGGGGAAGCTCTTGTGGAAGAGCTACGAGAGGAAGTAGAAAGGTTAAGGAGCATCAGGGAGGCTGAGAAAGAGAGAGATTGATGGAGCCATGCTCTGCCCTCCCTGAGACAGAAACAGGGACAGGCACCAGAAAAAAACTCCCCCTGCCAGGATGAAGGCAGTAGCTTAGAGGAAAGGAGTGAATGGAGGCGGGCAAACCTCCTCCTTGCCCTCCTCACCCTCCCAGGTGCCTCTGTACAACCGGTAAGAGGCTCTGGATGTGGAAGGCCAGTCAACGGGTGACGTGGATGATGGTCCATCTACACCAGAGGTGTTGCCAAGGTCAGAAAGGCGTACCCCCTGTATCATGACCACTTCCACGAGGAAGAAAAGATGGGCTATAGTTGTAGGCAACTCCCTTCTGAGGGGTACAGAGGGTCTGATATGCTAGACAGGCCTTCCTCTTAGGGAAGTCTGCTGCCTCCCTGGGGCCTGGGTTAAGGACATCACTAGGAAACTTCCTAGCCTGGTATGGCCCTTGGATTATTACCCATTACTGCTCTTCCATGTGGGTGGCGATGAAGCTGCAATGTGTAGTCCAAGAGAATCAAAAGAAACTTCAGGGCCTTGGGATGGTTGGTGAGGGAACCTGGTGAACAGGTTATTTTTTCTTGTCTCCTTCCAGTTGCGAGCAGCGACACTGGGACGAACAGATGGACCCTGTATATCAATACATGGTTCTGTGGCTGGTGTCACCACCAGAGTTTTGGGGTTTTCGACAACGGGATGGCTTATGCGGCACCAGGCTTGCTGGTGTCAGATGGGATTCACCGTTCTCAAAGGGGAAAAAGGGTCTTTGACCAGGAGCTTGTGGGCAGAGCTTTAAACGAGGCTTGAAGGAGGCAGCAGATAATAGGCTTGCCCGAGACAAGCTGTGGGACGACATACTAAGGTGTGTGATGGGGTGCGAGCGAGGGCCCTCAGCCTGTTGCTCGGAGATGTGCTGGAAACACTGCAGCATGCTTGAAGTCTAGCGCAGATGAGCCAGGGGCTCTTGAGGTAATAGGAGCCAACAGGGAAACACCAGTGAAATACCACAAAGGAATTCCAGCTACTCAGCCAGCTTCATCGGGGGCCCAACTTAAACGCTTCTATGCAAGCTTCTATGCAAATGCACGTAGCATGGGGAATAAACAAGAGGAATTAGAGACATGCATGCCTGCAGGGCTGTGATCTCATTGGCATCACAGAGACGTGATGGGATGGCTCCTATGACTGGAGTGTTGGAATGGAAGGATAGAGGCTCTTTAGGAAGGGCAGGCAGACAAGGAGCGGGGGTTGCCCTCTACATCAATGACCTACTGGAGTGCGTGGAGCTCCACCTGAGGATGGATGAGGAGCCAACCGAGAACTTATGGGTCAGGATTAAAGGGAGGGCAAGGACAGGGGGCACTATACTGGGGTTCTGCTACAGGCCACCTGACCAGGAAGACTGAGCAGATGAGGCCCTCTGTAGACAGACAGGAGCAGCCTCATGTTCACAAGCCCTGTTCCTCATGGGGGACTTCAACCACCCTGATATCTGTTGGAGGGACAACACAGCAGGGCATAAGCAATCTGGGAGGTTCCTGGAATGCACTGATGAAAACTTCCTTCTCCAAGTGATAGAGGACGCAACGAGGAGAGGTGCCATGATGGACCTTGTTCTTACCAACAAAGAGGGGATGGTGGGGAACGTGAAGCTCAAGGGCAGCCTTGGCTGCAGTGACCATGAAATGGTGGAGTTGAAGATCCTTAGGGCAGCGAGGAGAGCACATAGCAAGCTTGCTACCCTGGCCTTCAGGGGAGCAGACTTTGGCCTCTTCAGGGACCTGCTTGGTAGAGTATCATGGGATAAAGCCCTGGAGGGAAGAGGGGCCCAAGAAAGCTGGCTAGTGTTCAAGGAGCACCTCCTCCAAGCTCAGGAGTGATGCATCCCAACAAAGAGGAAGTCAGGCAAAAATGCCCGGAGGCCTGCATGGATGAACAAGGAGCTCCTGAACAAACTCAAACGCAAAAAGGAAGCCTACAGAGGGTGGAAGCATGGGCAGGTAGCCTGGGAGGAATACAGAGAAGCTGTCCGAGCAGCCAGGGATCAGGTTAGGAAAGCTAAAGCCCTGACAAAATTAAATGTGGCCAGGGATGTCAAGGGCAACAAGAAAAGCTTCTACAGGTACATCAGTGATAAAAGGAAGACTAAGGAAAATGTGTGCCCCCTCCAGAATGATATGGGACACCTGGTTACCTGGGATATCAAGAAGGTCGAGGTACTCAGCGACTTTTTTGCCTCAGTTTTCACCGGCAAGTGCTCTAGCCATGCCGCCCAAGCCTCAGAAGGCAAAGGCAAGGACTGGGAGAATGAAGAACCACCCACTGTAGGAGAAGATCAGGTTTGAGACTGTCTAAGGAACCTGAAGGTGCACAAGTCCATGGGACCTGATGAGATGCATCTGCGGGTCCTGAGGGAACTGACAGATGCAGGGGCTAAGCCAGTGACAAGAGGTGTTCCTCAGGGTTCGGCATTGGGACCAGTACCTTAAGGGGCTACGAGAAAGCTGGAGGGCTACGAGAAAGCTGGAGAGGGAGTGTGTACAAGGGCAGGGATTGACAGGACAAGAGGGAATAGCCTTAAGCTGAAAGAGGAGAGATTTAGATCTGAGGAAGAAATTCTTCCCTGTGAGGGTGGTGAGGCACTAGCACAGGGTGCCCAGAGAGGTTGTTGATGCCCTTGGATCCCTGGAAGTGTTCAAGACCAGGATGCATGGGGCTTTGAGCAACCTGGTCTAATGGAGGGTGTCCTTGCCTATGGCACGAGGGTGGACCTAGATGGGCTTTAAGGTCCCTTCCAAACCAAACCATTCTATAATTCTATGACTTATGAACATCTCCTCCCTGATTTGTGCAGAGAAGTCAGGGACTAAGAACAAAAACACCATAATCACTCCTTTGAGGTTTTTCTTCTTTTTTTCTCCCTTTTATGATGTCATGTGGACATTGATTACCCCCCACAATTATGATATGAAGAGCTGTTTGGGACTTCCACAGAATTCCTGAGGCTTTAGTTACAACACAGCAGGTGTCCGAGCCTCAGATGATGTACATACAAAGAAGCTTGTTCTTTTCATTTTAACAACTAGTTTAACTTAACTGACCTGCTATTTTCCATGTAGGTGAGCACCACCTCTGCTATGAAGAGGGTGGGGATTTCATTGTCCAGTCCTGCTTCCTCCAGGGCTCTCTCCAACTCAGACAGCTCTGATAAATCCACTCCCAGTAATTTATAATCCTCTCCAGAAAAGGTAATTACTCCTGGGAGACAAAAATGATTCAATCTCACTACAGTGCTGAAGCAATACCGAGACCAAAAGAGACAAACAGGAAAATCAACCCCACATGCAATCGCTCACAAGGCTGTGCCTATCAACTCAATTTCTTTGGGACATAAATATGAGCCAGCAGTGTGCCCAGGTGGCCAAGAAGGCCAACAGCATCCCAGCTTGTATCAAAACCAGTGTGGCCAGCAGGACCAGGGCAGCGATCATCCCCCTGTACTGGACACTGGTGAGGCTGCACCTCGAGTGCTGTGTTCAGTTTTGGGCCCCTCACTACAAGAAGGACATTGAGGTGCTGGAGTTTGTCCAGAGAAGGGCAACGAAGCTGGGGAAGGGTCTAGAGAGCAGGTCTTATGAGGAGCGGCTGAGGGAACTGGGGTTGTTTAGCCTGCAGAAAAGGAGGCTGATTGCTCTCTACAACTCCCTGAAAGGAGGTTGTAGCCAGGTGGGTGTGGGTCTCTTCTCCCAAGTAACAAGTGATAGGACAAGAGGAAATAGCCTCAAGTTGTGCCAGGGAAGGTTTAGATTGAATATTAGGAAAAACTTCTTCAGCAAAAGTGTTGTCAAGTACTGGAACAGTCTGCCCAGGGAAGTGGTGGAGTCCCCATCGCTGGAGGTATTTAAAAGACGTGTAGATCTGGCGCTTAAGGACGTGGTTTAGTGGTGGACTTGGCAGTGCTAGGTTAACGATTAGACTTGATGATCTTAAAGGTTTTTGCCAACCTCAACGATTCTATGATTCTATGTACAAGAAAATCCCCATCACTATATGAACCATAAAGGAATAGTGTCAAGAAGTGACCCATTAATTGCAGATCTAAAACTCCATTACTCCTAATGCAAACTGCACCTACAGATTTCTCATAGAATTATCACATTTACTATAACAACTAAACTTTATCATATTTACTTTAACATTTTTATAGAACCGCTATAATTCAGAATCAAATCTTAATGGCTCTCATTTGTAGAGCTTTCAGTTTAGGCTAAGAAAGTACCATTACCTTCATAGAACTTGAATGTCTTGCCTCACATCCATAAAACCATTCTCAAGTTTTTGAAAGTTTGTTTGTTTTTTAAATAGATTTCCTTTCTGTAAAATGGCATTGAATCCTGAACTAGGACATGCTAGCTCTCTGCAAATATCAGAACTAGTCCCACAGATCACCTTTCTCAGAAGTAAGTTCCACTTTATGATTTGCCAGCATTATCATGCCATACCTCTATACTCCGTAAGAATATCATAAGCTATAGCTTCTGGACCTGTTTCAACTAAAACCAAATCAAACCCAAAGCAAACTGTAAAGTACCTTTAGAAAACACCTATTCTATGTCTCTGTACCAGTACAATCCAACAATTATACCTGTCCTCGGAAATGTTAATCTACACTCTTCTCAAAGGCATCCATTACTGGAGGCAAAATGGCCTTTTTCAGAAGCCCATCCCAGTGTTCACTGTTAATTTCTTCTAACAACTAACTTGTTTATCCATCACTTCCCGCCCTCCGGACACAGAGAACAGGGTATTCCCAACTCTTTTGACACCTGCCTTTTACTTGAAGTACTGGAAGATTATTGGTATGGACAGAATTCTTTGCCACAGGATGGTGCCAATATTAAAAAATGTGAATGGATTCAAGAGGAAACTGAACAAGACCATGGAAGAGCTACTCCCTAAAACTTGTTCAACTGCCCACAGGAGCCAGGGACTTGTGCTCTGCACCTAACTCTGTAGCTGTCTTCCATCTAAACATAGTGGCTTATATATGTCCCTATTGTATTTCATTCCACATTTTCCAGACCATTCATGTGCTTTGTCAAAATGCTATTCTCATCCACCATATTGCAACTCTCCCAGTTTCTGGCTGGTTTATTACATTTTCATCTTCTATAGCATATCATCTAGAACATGAATGGAAACCTTGAAGGAAATCAGACGCAAGAGAAACCTCTAGTAAACCACATACTTTACATTCCTCCATTTGGCCACTGAACTACCCCTTAGTAGTTAGCTGGCATAATAATCCTTTCACCTAAGAGTCACACCTTCTCTCTTATCCATAAAGCCCATAAATCACAGTATAATTTAGGTTGAAAGGGTGCTTTGGAGGTCATCTAGTCCAACTCCTTGCTCACAGCAGGGTTACCTGTATGAGGTTGCTCAAGGCTTTGTCCTGTCAAGCTCTAACTATCTCCAAGGCCAGAGATTCCACCACCTTTCTGGGCAATCCACTCCCATCTTTAGCTACTCACATGGCAAGAAAAAAAAAACAAACCACCAAAACATTTTCATCATACATAACTGAAATTTCCTTTGTAGCAACTTTCAACCATTGCTGCCACTGTCCCTTGACTGTTTGCTTCGTGACTCCAAGAAAAGTCTGGCTCCATCTTTTCTACACCTTCCCATTAGATACTTGAAGACTGCAGCAAGACTCACCTTCCTGTCTCCCAGTCTCCTCTTCTTAAGGCTGAACAAACCCAGTTCTCTCAGCCTCCTATCCTATGTCACATGCTCTACCACTTTATCATTCTCGTGACCTCTCGCTGGACATGCTCCAGCTTGTTACTGTCTTTGCACTAGTGAGCCCAAAGCTGGACACCATACTTCAGAAATTGTAACAGAAAGAAACTGAACTTGGTTTGATAGAATCTGACAAATCCATTCTTGCAGCTATACATCTTCTTATCTCCCAATGCTTACAAATGATTTATTTGTTCCAAAAGTTTTCAGAAAATGAACATGCTTTTCATCTACAACTTTGTAGTTCCTCTACCATCATATCTCACTTTGTAAAGGCTGAAGCTATGTTTGCTTCTTCTTCTAAACATTTAGTATCTAAAAAACCTTCCATAAATACCATACCTAATCCTTCCCCTCCAGTATCTCCCACCAGTGCCGACAACTCTTTCATTCTTTTGATCAAAGTAGCTTTTTGACATGCCACATTTGGGAAATCCACCTCATATACCACAGTGTGATGCAGAAGACCCATGTCCTTCAAACGGAAGTATAAGGAGTCAAAGCCAGCACCTAAAGACAGGATCTGCAGAGAAAGTATTCAGAAAAAGTTATACTCAACTCAAGCAGCCTCCCGAGCATCTAGGTGTGAAAAATATTCAGTAACAGCATCTGTAGAGTGACAAAATCAGGCAATCTCCTGCAACAGACAGAAGAATTTTGTGTAGGTATTGCCCCCTCGCAGATATTTCTGACAAAGCGACAAATGGACAGCCACAGTAGTGCCAGTCAGATTCTCTGTGCTCTTCTGGGAAAGGATCACAACAGATGCACTAACTTTTCACACGTATAGTGGAAAATGCCAGTAGTCAGACAAAGAAAATGCACCTGTGTCCTAGGGTG